GAAGGGAGGGATGACCCTCCTCATCGAGTAAGGGTCTGCAGTATCCCTATCTCAAGGTCAGCCATCCTCCAACCAGGTTCAGGGTCCTCCTGGTGAATGTGTATCTCTTAGGAGTGCCACTGGGTCAGCTCCAGGGCCAGGGTCCTCAGATTAGAGAAGCCCAACCCTCTGGCGTGGCCATCTCCATCCACCAGGGCTTGGTCCTGGCTGGGTGAGAGCTCCAGGCACTGACGGTGTCTTATATGGCATTCTGTATCTGTCAATGCTCAGGGGTCACTGTCGACTGAGTGAGTCTTACCCAGCACTGCTGTTCCCTCCCCTGCTCTCCCTTAGTTTCTAGGGGACGTGCTGACATTGGAGTTGAACTGGAAGGGAAATGTAAAGAGAAGGGAAAATAGAAGGACTGCTCGGTTTTCGCTGCTCTGCACATCACTGCCCATCATACTGCATGCCCATGAACAATGCCTTGAAATTCACATCTCATCCTCTCTCTGTTCACATTTGGCTGCCCACCACCATCCCTATGCTAAACACCTATGAGCCAGAGTCCACACACAACTGAAATGGGGTGACAATGTGGGGAGGCAGTGGGGCAGATGAGGGTGGTTCTGCCCCTGGGTCCAGCATCCAAGGTTCATGTCCGTATGGTCAAACGCCAAATACAGACACCTGCATCACGGCAGGAAGACACAGCCTCTCACCCTGTCTGCATGAGAATATTTTACTCTTCCAAAGCTGCCATCAGTGATGAGGAAGATAATGATGATGTATGTGGCATTGGGTACAAAAAGACGGGGAGGGCAAAGAGAGACAGAATAAGAGATCAAATCTAACAGATGTTTCTTCTCCAAATGTTTATGAACAAAGCCCTCAGTGAGGCCTTCAGGTTTGAAATACTTAGAGGCTACAATGGCTATTTTTAACAGAATGGTACTAAATTTGAATTGCAGTTGTAAGGGCAGCAGAATGATTCTAAGTGGCTCTGCTGGCTCTAGGACATTTTTTACTGAGAGAACCATCACTGAAGAGACAGTCGGTGAAATTAGTATTAAGTGTTTAATGTTAGAGCTGGCATATTAGTTTTAGGTTCAACCTAGGATAAAGTCATTTTTACTTGCTTGAGTATAATTTACAATATGTCAAGGCCCTTAATATAATCAGCATGTACGGTAGATTTGCTCTTATTCAGGATGTAACCTCATTTTATTATATAAAATGATTACATAAACATATTGATTTGGATCCTGCTTTTTACACCAAGGGTGGCTTGATTTAAGATTCGCTGGCGAGGCCTGTGCTTTCTAGACTTCTCCACCCCATCAGCACCATGCACATTTCACTGTAGTTCAAGACTGGCTCTGTCTTCTCCTGCCAGGAGGAAGGGGCCTTGGATGGCAGTGGGGCTGATGGGCAGCTGCAGGGGGAGGCCCATCAAAGAGATCAAAGTGAGGGAGAGCACCAGAAAGACCCACAGAGCCAGCCGGGTGGTCAGCCAGTCCATGTGGAGTGGGTCTACAGCAGGTGCGGCAGGGGTGGTGGGCTTGGCTGGGTTACAGGCAGGTTGTGGAAGACCCCAGAAGTCAAGCTGAGGATGCTGGATTTTTTTCTCAAAGAGCTAGGAAAGCACAGCTTGGGGTCTGTGTGTTGAAGATCATACATAGCAGTATTAACCCGGAAGGACAAGAGCAGGATGGGGAGCAGGGAGACTATGTCCAAGGCTACTGCCATCATCTGAATGAAAAGAGAAGAGCCTGGACCAGGAGAAAGGCTAGAGTCGATGAAAGTAGAGGATGGCTATAAAAGACTCCATGGAGGCTGGGTGTGGTGGCTTGCATCTGTAATCCCAGCACTTCGGGAGGCTGAAGCAGGTGGATCACGAGGTCAGGAGTTCAAGACCAGCCTAACCAACGTGGTGAAACACCGTCTCTACTAAAAACACAAAAATTAGCCCAGCATGGTGGCATGCACCTGTAGTCCCAGCTATTCAGGAGGCTGAGGCAGGAGAATCACTTGAACCCAGAAGGCAGAGGTTGCAGTGAGCCAAGATCACGCCAATGCACTCCAGCCTGGGTGACAGAGTGAGACTCCATCTCAAAAAAAAAAAAAAAAAAAAGACTCAGTGGAGAATGGAACCAACAGGACTGAGAACCGCGGCCTGAATCCTGAATCCACCCAACCCTCAGCGCCATGAGCAACGCCACCAGGAATATCTGAGCGTTCTCCTGACATTCAGTCTCTGAATTGTGGCATGATGTCTGGGCAGCAAACACAACGTGCCCTGCAATTCATGTTTTTTATTGTAGAAGTAACACATCCACATAAAGAATATTTAGGAAAAACGTAGAAAAAATAGATATAAAACAAAACAAACCAAAAATCCCCAGTCACACTGTTCATAAAATGAATACTCGTAACATATTGGTACGTTCTTTGTTGTTGTTGTTGTTGTTGTTGTTGTTGTTGTTGTTGAGATAGGGGCTTGCTCTGTCACCCAGGCTGGAGTGCAGTGGTGTGATCTCAGCTCACTGCAAACTCTGCCTCCTGGGTTCAAGCGATTATCCCATCTTAGCCTCCTGAGTAGCTGGGACTATAGGTACATGCCCCCACACCCAGCTAATTTTTGTATTTTTGATAGAGATGAGGTTTCACCATATTGACCAGGCTGGTCTTGAATTCCTGACCTCAAGTGATCCACCCGCCTCAGCCCCCGAAAAGTGCTGGGACTACAGGCATGAGCCACCGCACCTGGCCAGTATGTTCGTTTTTACTATATTTTCTAGCCATTTAGATTTGTTGTTGTTGTTGTTGATTTTTTAACTTGATTGCAGATACTGTCTACATAATTATGGATTCTGGTTTTCATTTACTTAAAGCATTTTCCAAATTATATGGAAAGCATCTTTATAAACACCAATTTATTGACTAGATAACATTTTATCAAATGACACACACCATGATTCACTGAACTATTCTCCTCCGGCTGTACATTTCATTTCCACTTTTTCATTTTTATAAATAACAAGATAACGAACATCTCTGTGTGTGAAGGTAGACTGTATTTAAGATTGATTCCTTGGGGCCTGGCGCAGTAGCTCATGCCTGTAATCCCAACACTTTGGGAGGCCGAGGCGGGAGGATTGCTTGAGCCTGGGAGTTCCAGACCAGCCTGGGCAACATGGTAAAACCCGATTTCTACAAAAAATACAAAAATGAGCCTGGCATGGTAGCATTCGCCTGTGGTCCCAGCTATGTGGGAGGCTGAGGTGGGAGAATCGCTTGAGCCCAGGAGGCTCAGGTTGCAGTGAGCCAAGATCATGCCACTGCACTCCAGTCTGGGTGACACAGCAAGACCTTGTCTCAAAAAAAAAAAAAAAAGGATTCTTTGGGATCAACAAATAGAAATGGAATTACTGAGTCAAAGGGCCTAAGCGTTTTTAAAGCTCTTGACACATTATTTCAAAATTACTTTCTAGAGAGTTTCAACCAATTTGTACTCTTTCTAGAAAAGAATGAAAATGCCTCCCATTTTGCCATCTATTGCTTAATACTGGTAATTATATTTCCTTTGTGATGAATTTAATAAGTTAGCATCTTAGTATTTCATTATGCACCTTTGATCACAAGTCTGTTGGATGTCATCCCACGTGTGTGGCAAGCTCTCTCTCCTTTCCTGTAAGTCGCTTGTCTGTGGCCCTTGCCTCAAATCTCTTAGTGTCTCAGTTTCTCCAATCCACCCACTATTTGGTATGAGCTACTAATATATAAGTTTGAATCCTTTGTCTTAATTTTCAAATATACTTTTTTGTTGTTTGTCTCTTAAACTTTGAGTGTTTCTCTTTTCTTTTCTTTCTTTTTTATTTTTTGAGACAGAGTCTCTATCTGTCGCCCAGGCTAAAGTGCAGTGGCGCACACACAGCTCACGGCAGCCTTGACCTCCTGGCTCAAGCCATCCTCCCATCTCAGCTTTCCGAGTAGCTGGGACTACAGGTGCATACCACCACGCCCAGCTCATTTTTGTTTATTTTTTGTAGAGATGGGCAGTATGTTGCCCAGGCTGGTTTTGAACTCCTGGACTCAGTGATCCTCCCCCCTTGGCCTCCCAAAGTGCTGGGATTATAGGCGTGAGCCACCGTGTCTGGTCTGAGTGTTTCTTTATTGACATCAAAATATTTAAATTTTTCAACAGTTAAGTCTATTGATCAGTCACTTGCTTTAAGAGTTCTTCTCTCTTTACACATAGAAAGCCCTTCTCTTTCAGAAGGTTGATAAATATTTCACCTAAGTGTATTTTTAATGGACAAATTGCCCTTAACTCTGTCTTCTTATTAGAATGTAGATGACTCCTCCTTAGTTTTCAGGACACTAAGTGGGATAAGGTAGGATAGGTTGGATGAGGATGGCGGTGCAATCGTAGCCTCAATTTTTATTAAGGCCCCAGACTGTATGAGGGCTTCTGTATGGAAACACAAGAGAGAATGGATGCTGGAAGAGGTGCTGTAGGAAGCCAACACCTTCTTCTTCCCAAACCTCGGCAGCAGCATCACCTGCCTTTGGAAGATCACATGGGATACACTCCTTAGCCCCAGTCCCCAGTTTTCTTGGTCTGTTTGATAATCTATTTCTTTTTTTTTTTCTTTTTTTGAGACAAAGCCTTACTCTGAGAGTCACCCAGGTTGGAATGCAGTGGCACAATCATGGTTCCCTGCAGCCTCGACCTTCTAGGCTCAAGTGATCCTTCTGCCTCAGCCTCCCAAGTAGCTGGCACTACAGGTGTGCACCACCACACCTGGCTAATTTTTAATTTTTTTGTAGAGATGGAATCTCGCTATGTTGCCCAGGCTAGTCTTGAACTTAGTGATCCTCCCACCTTGACCTCCCGAAGTGCTGGGATTACAGGTGCGAGCCACTCTGCCTGGCCATCATTTTCTTAAAAGGACCCTATGTTTAGCCTAACAATATAGTTCCTGACATTCTCCCTCTCTCCCTTCCAAACTACTTACCCATATCGATGGCGACCCACGTCACGGATGAGCCTCTCAGAGAGGTAGGCGCCAATACGATCAAGCTTTTCTGGAGCTGAGAGGGCATAGAAGGTCAGCTTCTCCATGTTGGTCTTCACCAGCCCATCCTGCAGGAGAAAACAACTTGTGCTCACTACGGCTAGACGAGTTCGAGTCTAGAGAAAAATAATCATTCGACTGAATCAGCATTTACAGAGTGCCCTTTATGGATGTGCCGGGCCACATGTGGGTTTCAGTGACAGGCAGATGATTAAAACATAGTTTTAGTTATAGGCTCACGCCTACAATCCCAGCACTTTGGGAGGCTGAGGTGGGCAGATCATGAGTTTGAGACCAGCCTGGCCAACATGGTGAAACCCTGTCTTTACTAAAAATATGAAAATCAGCCAGGCATGGTGGCGAGTGCCTGTAATCTCAGCTACTCAGGAGGCTGAGGCAGGAGAATTGCTTGAACCCGGGGAGTGGAGGTTACAGTGAGCTGAGATCGCGCCATTGCATTCTAGCCTGGGCGACAGAGCGAGACTCCACCTCAGAGGGGGGGAGAAAAAGAATAGCAAGTGATACAAATGTATAAAATGTATATATGTGTGTGCATGTGTATGGATATATACACATGAATGCATATGTGTATGTGCGTATGGGTGTGTATATATATATACACCGTGTGTGTATGTGTCTAGGAATGGATGATACAGCATCATTAAAAGCCATCCAAGCCGGGCGCGGTGGCTCACGCCTGTAATCCCAGCACTTTGGGAGCCTAAGGCAGGCGGATCACAAGGTCACGAGATCGAGACCATCCTGGCCAACATGGTGAAATCCCATCTCTACTTAAAGTACAAAAAATTAGCTGGGCATGGTGACACGTGCCTGTAATCCCAGCTACTTAGGAGGCTGAGGCAGGAGAATCTCTTAAACCAGGGAGTCAGAGATTGCAGTGAGCCAAGATCGTGCTACTGCACTCCAGCCTGGTGACAGAGTAAGACTCCTTCCCCCCCAAAAAAACAAACAAACAAACAAAAAATACCCCAAATTAAAACATGTTGGAGAGCCGGCACCAAGGCACACACAGGACGAAGGCAGCTCTGCAGCTCTTAGGGAACTCTACAGAGGATGCTCCCATCAAGACAGGCCATTGGTTCCCAGAGAGCAAGTCAAGTACATCAGATCCCAATGTTTCCCAGATCATAACTCACAAAGCAGCCTGACGGGTGGAGAGGTGGCTTGGAGGCCAGGCCCTGTGTGTGTATGCCCCTAGACACCTGGCAGACACAGAGGGTGGCAGCCAGGGGGAATGACCTGGGCTCCTGAGCCCAACCCAAGACAGGGGAGTCCTCACACTGAGCAGCAGGGAGCTACGATCACTCAGAGTTAGCAGCTTCAGGGGCGATCATGCAGAGACATGCAGGAGAAAGATGTCTCGGTTGGACAGTGATGGCCACAAGCATACTGAGATGCACTTTCAGCTGCCTTCTGTGGATTCAAATGCCCTCATCCTTCATGTCCCTAGCAGCCTCTCACCACTGCCCAGGTGCTGTGGCCCAGGTTCCAGTTTCTCTGGGAAGGCTCAGCGCCCGGGGACCCTGAGAGGGCCTGCCTTCCCCCCCGGCAGGAGGCCTGGCTACCAAGCTGCCCCCATCAGAGGCCCTGCCTGGACCGTGAGAGCCACGACGCCTGCCAGAGACGTGACCCACCTCGGGATCCTCAGGGAAGATGTTGTCAACCAGCCTTTTGTACCTGGGGCGTAGGGCACCGCAGCAGCCACACACACCTGGAATGAGAACAGGAAAAACTGTGAGCAAAGCCTCCTGGTCAGGTCCAGAAAAGCTGGGAGCCAGGGCCAGGGCGGCCTGTGAGGAAACAAACCAAGGCTGGAAACAGGCCCCTTCCTTGGAGGGCTCGGGACCTTGTCCTCTCAGAGTTGGCATCTCTCATTGTCCCCCGTCCCCACATTCTAAGACATCTGCCATGTGCCATTCTGGCATCTTCATGTCTTTTGCTTGGGGGTTGGGCACAGTGTCAAATGCAAGGCCAGGCCACAGGGAGCATTTTCAGGGGTGAGGCTTCGTGGGTGGGAACTTACATAAAGGTCAGGTGCTGTGCCCACCTACTGTGCTGTTATACACACACACACACACACACACACACACGTTTCCGGGACAGGAATATGAAAGTGCCTTCTGCAGCTCAAGAATCTAACAGAGCATCCTGGGAAGATGGACACAGGTTTGGGGGGCAGGTGTTCTTTCCTATCTGCCCCCTCGTTTGCTCCTAACTTTCTTTATTGCCTGCTCTTCAGTCTCCCTCTATTGTCCTATCTCCTGGAGCCATTTCCATTATAGAAAGTTATGTGCAACTATGATAAATTGACATCATCATCAATGATTCACATTTGACGATGCATCTTTAACGCAGTGTGACGGTGGAATTTGAAAACTGCAGCCTTTTAGAGTTGGGCAGGGCCTTGAGGGCCATCCAGTTTGTGGTTCTCAAATGCCGGACCCCAGTGAGGTTTGCACCAATCTGTAGCAACATGAAAAATCTGACAACCCTGTGGTATATTTGTGTAAAGCTAAATTTACTCCATTGAGAAGACTGAAGTGACCTCCTCCTTCATGTTTTGCTGCTGTGAAGTGATGGTGTTAGGAAACCAGTGATAAAAACAAACCCGCAAAATTAGAAGTTGGCAACTCTAGGTCTCACGATAAAAAGTTTCAATTAGTAAAGGAATAATAGCCATTGCGCTTCTTCAGTCAACCTCCAAATCCACCCAGCTCCACCCCTCACTGAGGGGGCGGGTGTGGAGGAGGAGAGAGGAGGACTTCAGGGAGGGGCCTGGGAGCCTGGGAAAGTCCACCTCCTCCCTCCCCTGCAGTAAGCACCCCTTCATTCTGCCAATTACAGATGAATTCTATCTGTACAAGCACACCACTTGAAATGCAAATATGCCCTGGGAAGATTAAGCCTACAGATCATTCAGAAAAGAATGTGTTCCTTCATTGGGAATTACTTTAATCACAAAAGAGGTTTACACAGGGCAGAGAAAAAGAGTTCTTTGGGAGTTTTGATTGGGAGGGGGTGGGGTGGGTGCCACTCAGGAGGAAAGAGCAGCAGTTTTGGCTCTGGGGTGATTTGGGTTTGGGGATGGGCACGTCCTTGGAGTAGCCATGGGGCACCAAGAGGATGGCAAAAGCCCAGGGGCAGATAACTTATTTGTGATCCCCTCTACCACCCTCAGCCTCCGCCCACCCCAGCATGGAAGGGACCAGGCAGACCAGTGGGCGGGCTGCATGCCCAGGCTCTCCAGGCTTAGCCTCCTTGCCCGACGTCATTCCTGGCATCTCCTCACCCCTCCCTGCCCCTGCCTGAGAAAAGGTGTTAGGGTTCTGGGTGGTTGGCATCCAGGGTTATTTCTTGTGATGGGACAGCTCCCCGGGGCCCAGTCCCCCTTCTTGGGCCTGGAAGCCCAGGGTTTAAACCTGCAGCTGCCCAGTCTTCTGCCTGGCGCAGTTGCCAGGATGCGTCTTTCCAAGGTGTCCAGGTAGCACATGCTCCACCCTCTCCCAGCAGCCTCCCTTGTCACAGTCCCTAAACCAGGAACACTGGCCTTTTGCATTTTCAGGGGTTGAGGAAATAGGAACATGGGGAAGTTAGGACTAAAAAAATTGTAGTGTCAGTTCCTCCCTTGGAACTTTCTGAAGGGCCTGTGAGCCAAGGCCTGCACTGGACAAAGGCCAAGCTCACAGCTAAACCCAGGCTTGTCAAGGAGAAAGCTCAATACCATCCTGGGTACTCATAATAGAAACTTCCACATAGCGCCCCAAGGGGGCTGTGGGGTTGTCAGTGCAGCTAGTCCAGCTGGACAGGGTTCCGTGAGGCATCAGGCCGGGACAGTCCTGGTCTGGGGACACCAACTCTGTTCTTCTCAAATGAAAACCAGATAGGCTGCTGCCTCCTGCTCTCTTGTATTCCAGAAGGGGAGCTCCTCAGGCCCCTCTTTGCTACATCCTTCCTCTCTGGTCCACAGGCCCTCCAGGGAAGGCACCTTCTCCAGCGCAGAGGCCTCCAGGAGCTGCCACCACACAGGGCCCATGGTGGGAACCAGTCCCAGGGCCCTTCTGGACCAGTAGAGAGGAGGTAAGAAGGCCTAAAGAACAAGAGGGGAAGGTGAGGTCTCCCCGGCTTACTCCCCAACACCTCCTTCTTGTCTTTCCTTTCTTCCTAACCTCGTCAGACCCTCTGAGGGTAGGGGCTAGGGAGGCAGTGTGGCCAACAGCATGGGCTCTCAGGTCAAATCCTGGCACTGCCACTTCCTAAACTGTGACTTGGAGCAAGTAACAACATTCTCTGTGCATGAGTGTCCTATCTCTGTAACAGGGCTAGGGCTATCCCACAGGGCTGGTAGGAGTCCAGAGCCAGTCCAGGGCTACAAAGCACTTACAGCAGGGCCAGGACTGTCAGGCCTCAGGAAGGTTCTGGAAGCTGCCCACCCCTTTCTGCTTTCCCCCAGGCCCAGTGCCATTGAGCCCTTCCATCCATGCCAGCTGGTCCATGCAGGCTTGGTACATCTTAGCAGGGCTATCCCATTGTCCACTTGCTTGGCCACAGTGACCAAGGCCCATCCAAAGGCATAAGAAGTGAGAATCACAGTACACCCCTTCAGAATACTGTGGGTCTGAAACACGTGCCACTTCCCCAAGGCAGCTCTGTGCACTTGCAAGTAATGATACTTTGACCCCAACCTGCATTCCTGTTTGGCCACCTTCCCAAAGCCAGAACCTCAGCACCAACTCTACAAACCCCAATGCAAAGGTGACACAACATGAGGTCACACAACAGAATGGAGTCACAAACAAGAGGCATG